AAAACAGGTTGATAGATTCGACAGTAGATGAGATCATGAAATATGTGAAAAAATAATTTTGGAATATTACAATAAAATCATTCGCTCGTTTCATCGCTAAACCAGCGACAAACAGAGAATTCTGATCGATGAATGCAGTTAGTAGCAGAACAAGCATTCGGAACAAATTGCTCGCAAATAGCTCAAAAATGGCTGCGAAAAACAAATATTCAAATTACAAGCACAAATACGACGCACAATCCAACCGAAGAACAAATCAAATAATGTCGTATACGGAGCGTTGGATATTAGTTTTAAAACGTGACAATTATCAATAAGAATGATTCGTGGATTTTTAATGACAATGAATTATTTCGTAGGTACTTTTTGAATAGGTTAAACACAGATGCCATTGAAAACAGAATTATATGCCTTCTCTCAGTCCTCATCACATCGGTATATGCGAAGGTTCTCGGGCGATTAGCCGTGCGAACTGAACCTACAACCTTCCTTGCGTGGTAAAAACTTCCCAATCAGACCTTTTTAGAAGATGACGTCCGTCGATTTTTCGATTTCAGAGATCTTGTCTTTTAAGTTAGAGGGATAAACGTTCTGGTTTCTCGTTGTTGGCGCAGTGCTGAATAGGGTTCAGTTCGAATCAAAATGCTGACTTTGAGGTAAATTATGAAACCTTGAATTTTGGGTCAATTACCCAAGAACTTTTGCATATACCTATACTTTGAGTCATTTTATTTCTGTCATCAACTAATGTGAAAATGTTATTGTTATAATTTGCTGAGGTATCGGATGAGATGACATCCAGATCAGATGGATATGCATAATCTGATGATGATCACTTCGATGAGTCAGGCGTCATTTCTTGCCTTCTCAAAGCACTAAAATCAGTGGATGATCCATTCGTGGAATGATAGTTGACTGGATCGAACGTATGATTCGAATCACTATCGAAACCGCCTTCTGAAAATCCAGTGTTCGAGTCTTCATTCATATTTGCGAATGATCGCACACGAGTAACGTCGCTATTTTCTGAAAAATTTATTATCTCTTTATCACAGCACAAAGAAGCATTACCTAAACAACAGATCAAACAATTGGAATTTCACATAAAATGAGACATTTTGACTGATAAAGCTTAAGATGACTCGATGAACGCGAAGACCCCTAAAAACAACCATGGGTCTATGAAATAATTATTAAAATCAAAAGATATTAATTCGGGAGCATTCCGACAGACAAGACTTGTTCTGAACAATTATTTATATCTGATGATCAACTCTTTTAGGAAATGAACTGCAAGTTTACCAAGAGTGCACGAATCCCGTGTGTTTTCCGATGATGCTAACGGATTGCTTCGTTCTTCTTCTGTTACCGGCGGTTTTGGTGGTGGTTTAGGGATGTTTGCAGTAGCGGTCACTGGAAAATATCAAGAGATTCGGAGTGTTCAGTGCAAATGT